CTGAACCAATAGAATGGCTGCATTCTCCCACCAGCTGGCTGCTCGCGTCTCAATCAATCAGGGGCCGGCAATGATAGTCAATGGCATCGTAGCCTCAAGGACTTAACAGTTTCCTGCCTAGGCAGGGGGTTGGACTAGAAGACCTCTAGTCCAAGGTCCCTTCCAACTCTGCTATTGTATTAAGCTACAGGGCCACATTAGTGAAAACCTACGTATATTGCTCTGTGTTCTGTTCACCTCATACTAAGTGAGGATTCTGAGGAGGCCTTTCTTTTCTGTGATATTTTTATTGATAGTTAAATTCAGTCTTGGCAAGGCAGTGCCTGACGTAATCCAGTGTCCCACTGTAAATAGTTTTGCACATCCTCACCAGCATGTTGAATTGGACCTAAAAATCTACCGGTATCCCCTTGCAATATTACCTCAGTAACAGCATTATTCTAATATAGCAGGATCGTTCCATTAACAATTCAGCTTCTGGATTTTGGCCCAAAGCTCAACTTATATACAATAGTGTAATCCAACCAAGTAGTGATGAAAACAACAGATACTTCTATGAAGTTCTCCTATAACAGTAATGCACTTTTCAAAATTGAAGAAAGATTACACTTTAGCTATTCTACCACAGCATAAGCAGCAGCTGTGAATTAAGGACTTCAGATCATGAACCAACTCCTTCAGAGGGATTTCCGCCTCTTCTTAATTGAGCTAAAGTTCCTAAAAAGCAATTTGGTCTTGAAAGCATTTGTCTATTTTGCATCTTCCAGGCAGACTCCACATTATTTGTTCAAGCTTTCCACAGTATATCCTTGGCCCAGCCTATAGTGGCAATGTACATCTGAGTATCATCCATATACTGGTGACACTTCACCCCAAACTGCCAGATACAATGATATATGAAAAGACCTTGAGAGATAGGACAATTGTATTCTGTCAATTCTTGCTGAAAGGATCTACATGACAGAACATTTCCAAACAGAAATGCTGGGATTAGCATCTGTGGATACAATATGTCCTGGGGAAAACTCACAATTCAGTTTAGTTAGAAAGTTAAAATTTTTGACTTCTGAACTAACTAAATAAGCAGTAATGTTTGTCCATTTATATTGCAGAAAAAAGGAGTACAGCTAAACTGACCACTTTTCAAAAGACTGAACAAAGGATTAGAAATCAAATCCTACAAGTACTGATTAAGGCAACTAACTGGGTATGTTTAGTATTGAGAAAAGACAATGGAACAGAGATATTATGCCATTTTCTAAGAATATGAAGGTGAACACAAAAAGAAGAAAGATGCAAATTGTTTTCTATTGTCGCAGAGTATCAGGAATAACAATCTTAAATAGAAATTCAGTGAAGTGCTAGGAAAATTCAGTTAAGTCCTCTAAAATTAAGACAGTATGACAGTAGAATCATCCTAAGAAAGTGGTGTGTTCCCTTTCATTGCATGTTTCAAACAGGCTGGATAAACATTTGACAGTGATACTTTTATCTGGGCTTTTGCACTGAGCAGGAAGTTGAACCCTATGATACACCTGGTCCTTCCTAATGTATGATTCTCTGACACATTGTTCAACAATGCCAACAAGCTCTCATTCTATGTTGTAGAAGCAGATATGAAGAGCAGATTGCAAGACAAAGTCAACTATAAAAGGACATTTTTTTCAGCTTTTTCCACTGAACCAATATCTTTGTACTTCAAACATTTATTTATTAAACAAATATATATAGCTGCTCAATTCACACACAGTGATTCCATATATAGGGAATACAACATTAAAAATTCAGCTAAAACCCCACAATTTAAACCCCACCCCAATGAGACAAGCCACTTGATCCATTCCCAAGCTGGCTGACGAAACCATGTCTTCAAAGGCATTTAGAAAGGCAACAAGCTTGGGTAATCTTATTTCTGAGGGAATGTTCCATATGAAGTTACCACAGAAAGATCCATGACAACTTGCCACGGCCAACTCATTGCAGATAACTTGCTGTGGCCAACTTGACTTGGCCAACTCACCATGGGACCAAATGAAATACAAATGACAAAAATTAAAATATGTTTATAATTAAATTGAATTGTTGAATTGTCCTGCAGTAAGTTGTCCCATGGGTGTATTGATCAGAATGAGTTATTCCACAATGAACTGGTCACTGTGAATTGGTCATGGCAGGTTGACTGTGGCAAGTAGGCTGCAGCAAGTTGTCCCATTCCACCAGAGAGAAGACCTTTTTCCTAGGTCCCACCAGATGTGCTTCCTTGATAGTTGGGATCCACAACATGCGCTGCCTTCCTGCTCTGTTGGGGGTTGGATAGATGCAATTGGGGAGGGACAATCTGTCAAACAACTTGGTTCCAAGCCATTCAAGCCTTATCTCTCTCTCTCTCTCTCTCTCTGTGTGTGTGTATACATACATATACATATACATACACACACACACACACATATACACATACATACACACACACACACAGAGTATATCACAGAAGTGAGTACACCCCCATATATTTTGAAAATATTTAAGTATATCTTTTCATGTGACAACACTGAAGAAATGACACTTGGCTACAATGTAAAATAGCAAGTATGCAGCTTGTATAAAAGTGTAAATGTGCTGTCCCCTCAAAATAACACAACACACAGCCATTAATGCCTGCTGGCAACAAAATGTTAGGGGGTGTATTCACTTCTGTGATACACACACACACACACACACACACACACACACACAAATACATAATTGCTTCCCTACTTTTATTTTTTCTAGATATCATGCAATATTTGATTGCATAATTAATTTGATTCTATAATTTTCATTGTTAAAATAAAATATATTTATGTACTCAGCTCTTATTTTACAATACTCTCAGTTCAAATACATTTAGAGGTTGTATGTGTGTGTGTGTGTGTGTGTGTGTGTGTGTGTGTGTGCGCGCGTGAGTAGGAGGGGGGAAATTCACTGGACTTTTTTGTGGACCCTGAGGAGAGATAAAATAATATGAAACAAAGGACAAAATTAATGTCAGCATCTGTGCACCATGCATTGGAATTGAAGATCCATGCATCTGCTTGAATTTTCTGAATATTGGTCAGTCTAAGTGTTTTTACCTAAACTTATTACACTACCATTTGAAGCAACACATTAAATATGAGATTCTCCCTGAGGGTATGGGGAAAAAAAGATCAAAATGATTGGTTCTTAAAGGCATTATAGATATTTAAACTTAAACAATCCTAAAATAAGTATCACACTTCACTTTAAAAGCTAAGAAATTAAAATATTATCAAAAGTTTTGAACAATCATTATAGAAAATAGTAGATCAATATAAAAATAGTAAAAGCAACAAACAGACAATAAAACTTACAAGTCACTACAAACTGATTGCCTTCCTAAAAAAAGAAGTCTCATATTCCAATGGAAGGCCATTCAGAAAAGATAATGTAGGTTAAGGTTATGGAGTAAGGAATTCCCAAGCATATTCAATACTTCTTGTAATATATAATTGATGTGTTAATGCATTCTGTCTCCCTTAGAAACTTACTTTAAATGATATTATTTATTCTAAAGATTTAAAAAAAGTACTTGCAACAGCTAAAACAGCAGCACAATGCTATATATATTTAAACAAAATATATTCCATTGATTCAATGGCCATTAGTGGAATATGTGAGTATACATTTCGAGTCCTAATGATAGCCAATTATGCATATTGATTCTTCTTCTGTAACACAATGTTAGATGTTAAAGCACTAATGTCTTTGTTGAAAATTGCAATTCTATTGAGAGTATGTGGATAAAACTTCTCTTTTTGTCATAGAGTAACTAAAGCATATGTCAATAGATCAAGCATAGGCCTCAAAGTCTAAAGTCAAGGGTTTACGGACTGCAAACATCTTTCTTTGAAGACTTAGGATGCAATCCCTAGCAAATCATAGTAGTTGTGCTACAGATATGACAGCTATTCCACAAGAAGCAACCACAGCCTGACAGCTTAAATGAAATTAAACTTTATCCCTTAGAACGGAGGACACTCTAAATGAGTTTTTGGGAGCTGGGGAGGTGAAAATGTAGGACTCCTATTTCCTACTCTAACAGAAGTCCATTTCCCCTCAAGGGACTAGTAGTTCAAATCCCCATTTGTTCCCTGAGCAGAATCCATAAAAGAAGAAAATGGAAAACCTATGATTTCTGACTAGAGGGTTGGTTCTGGGCACAGGAATGATGCATTTAAAACCAAGAGCCCATTAATCATCCCAGTCATCCAAACAGCCTATGAATGGCCTTATGTCAGTTACTGTTCTTGCATACTGGATTTCAAATGACACTGCAAGTTACATACAGTATAATGTAGATTTAGATACTTTATACTGTAACTTGATTTTGATTGAGTTATTGAAAGATAAGTCTCTGGAAAAGCTAAGTTGTTTTTATTTTTATTTAAATAAGTAATGATGTGGGCGGGAGAGGGGAATAAAATAGTTCTCATTGCCCCTAATGCAATGTGGAGCTTGGAACTATAAAGTTTCCAGTTAGAGGAATATGTTTAGAGTTACATTGCATATTAGATAACATTACTGAAAAGCTGGATAAAATCCTCCAATGAAGCCTAAAGGGACAAATCCATAGAGAATATTAACTTTAAAATGAAATGAAGAATATATTTTTAGACCCACCACACCCCCTACTTAGCTGCTTCCCAAGTTCCTTTCTCAGGTGCTAGCCTTTCTCAATCAGCTTTTTCTATGTGTGTTAGGCTTCAAATCCCATAATCCATTAAATCCTGTTGGCTGATAGTATATGAAAGCATATTTGATTGAGGAAGGCTGTTCTAGATTATTTTTTAAAAAAGAGCTCAATGTCTATAAACAGAATATAGTAACGTTATTTATTTATTTATTAAAGTCATTTTAAATAAGGCATAATAGAGAAAATTATTGCAAAACACTGGCATTTTAAAATAATAGGTCAATGTATGAAATGAGCTTCTAACACTTACATTTCATTTGCTTGAAGATAGATTTATTGGGCTCAAGCCAATGCTGTAAAAAAAGATAGAAGCCACCAGTCAAAAGTATTGCAAAATACACCATTTTCTTACAAGTACAAGATTGTAGTAAACTGATAGCAGTGTTCTCCTAGCTGTGATTTCCATTGTGTTTCTGTTAACAACTTCAAAAAGAGGGACATAGATGTCAAAGGAAAGACAGAAAGTAGTATCCGTAAGTGAACAGCACAGCTAATGTGATCACAAATACATAATAGTTATGTTTCAGTTTATGCAAACTTGAACAGGGAGGTAAAGAATGACAGATTTTATTTGATAGTTTCTGTATTTCTGAGAATATCTTTTGCAGACTTAAGGTTTCTTTCTGCTGTTGAAATTGTGCCATTATCTCCACACAGCTGCTCTGGCTTGGAAGGTTAATAAAATTAAGCATAGATTCACAATAAGGTTTTGTTTTCACTTTTCTCTGGTTAAAGCTATACTTCAAAGGAACATCTGTGTGCTTTCCTTCTTATGACTCTCTATAACCAAGCAGTGAGACCTTGTAGTGCCAAGCCAAAACAATCAGTGAGAAAAAAGAGTATTTTGTTTCCAATACACAAACCTTCCAGCCTCCGAGTAGCAGTATTATGTTGCAATTTTCCTTGTTTCTTTTTGTATCTTTTTTGTATTTCAAGTTTTAAAAAAGTCCGATTCTTAAATGAGTTAGGAGAATACCCACAGTAATGAAAGAGGAAAATTTTAGTACATAGGTTACAGAGAATAATAAAAGGAAAAAAATTAGAAGACGAAAACTTAATCCATTTGTTTTGAAAGGCTTGCATAAATCCCATCCATGAATATAGCATTTAAAAAGTAAGATAACCCTCTGACCAAAACCGTTCCAAATTTAATTC